AAAATTATTGGACACTTACAAAACATCTTTGCAACTAAACTCACTCACTAAACTCACTCACTGACAACTTGTGGCAGTTCCACTTGGACTTGTCAATCTAGGGATCAGCAATTGCACTTACATGGTTCTCCAATCACTATCAATAATTGACCAAGTTGCCATGAATAGAATTAGTTGTACAGGCTGAAAAGAACTGAAAGAAAACATACATTCAACAATAATTAATAAGTAAACATTAATTCAACAATAATTCATATATAGAGAGCAGATAGTTGGGTGAAAAATATGGGTAGATGCCTCCTGGCTACAGTGCGTCCCTATTTACCCCGCCCGTCCCTTTTTACCCTATTTGACGGTATTGTTATTTATGGTTTAGTATAAATGTACTAGGACAAATTGGAATGTAAACTTGTTGCCTTTAATGTGTATTAGGTTCCAATGAATTGTAGGTTTTTGGTACAGAGGCATCAAGTGGTGCAATACATTGTACATAGCTAGCTGCTTAGCTAATTCTTATAATTCTATAAGTAGTCTTTAACTAACTATATGACTATTTGTTATATATTGATTACAATATACAATTTAAATGTGTTAGCTAGCTTATACATGGTGAGGCAGAACTGATTGAGCAGTTTTGAGACAAAATAAAGAGTAATGGCCATGGTCAGGAAGATGTGCCAGGTGCGCGGGAATTTATATTGTCATTTTAACGACCTGCGCGGTGCGCCGTACTATGCCGGTAAAAAAATGCGCCGTGCGCCGACAGCGCCGTACTTTTAGAAAGCTAAAATCGTTTAAATATGGACGCGCGGCAATGCAAATTACGTAATCACACTGACCGTACACACAAACGTGTATCCGCATTGTGTTGTGGTTGGATACGAGTTAACTAGATTGCTAACGCGTCAACTCAGGACTCGGGTTCTAAGAGTCAGCACAGTAATGAATATTCATTCATAGATCACAATTCAATCGGACATGAATTACAGAACTAAAGAAGGCAACATGGCTTTAGATGTGCCATCGGTGCCTTCTAATGAATGACTGGACTGGTTGCGGCCAGGGCTCCCAGCCAATAATTTGAGAAAAACTTAGATGGTTGCTGAAAAACACCCAGATTCTGAAGATTTTGTGGGAAAAAAACCCAGACAACAAATTTCATCAAAAACATTGTAATTTTACTTACTTCTGATGGAATTATAAATCTTCGGCTGCTGCTAAATTTGGTATTTTGTGAGTCTCTGTCTTGGTTAGCTCTTGGATGAGCGTAAAATCCATATTTCTCTTACTACTCCGGGAAAAATAGAAGGTAATATTCTTTAAAAATTATTCGAGATATTATGGCAACATTTTCACAGCGTGACTTGTGCAAAGAGCAAAAGCTGTCTCTTATACACATCTAGATGTGTATAAGAGACAGATATATACCAGATCTAAAATATTCATACCAGACACCTTTTGAAAATACCAGATTTGTGAAATCTGGTATAGAAATATACCATCTGGCAATGCTGGTTCAGCGTTACTTGAAATCATCTACAGACGATGTTGCCATTCCATTCGGATGAAAACTGTGTCTAAATCAGAACTGTGTCGGATGGCTCCGCGGCCCGCGCCGAGTGCTGCGCGGCGCGGAATCAATGACCGTGATTTGCACAAACGCCTGCGCGAAAAAAATATAATTAGAGGGATTTACGCGAGAAATTTCCCTGTTTATATACATCTTCCTGAGTGTGGAGTAATGGAAGTACATAAAGAAGAAAGTTTATTTTCATCAAGGTTAGCATAACATACCATTTAAAATACCTATGTTTTGAAAACAATATCAGGAAGATGGTGTCCATTAGTTGCATTTTACTGTTGGATTTGTTCTTGGAAGTTTCCTACAGCATGTTCCAGGGTTGGCAATGATTAAATCAAAATGATTAAATCATGTGATTAAATCACTTGATTTTTTTATAAAAAAATCATGATTTTTTTTATTTTTTTGATTTTTTTGATTTTTTCATATATTTAAATATATTGAGTGGCAGTCTTTAATTTATATTGAGGTATTGTTATTCATGGTTTAGTATAAATGTACTATAAATGACAAATTGGTATATANTGTGCTATCAGCTACAGTCACTACTAGTCGGTGTGTATAGAGGGTAGAGTCTGGTAGATTTTTAGGACATAAAACTAGTAGATCTATTGATAGTGCTGTGCACTGTGCTATCAGCTACAGTCACTACTAGTCAGTGTGTATAGAGGGTAGAGTCTGGTAGATTTTTAGGACATAAAACTAGTAGATCTATTGATAGTGCTGTGCACTGTGCTATCAGCTACCTATCTGTTAAGTGACTCTTCAATGTTTAGAAGATCTGCATTCCTGAAATGTTTTTGTATATTGAAGCCAGTTAAATGGTCAATATTTAGCTTATTACCTTGCTCCATACAAACTTTACAAAGCCAATGAATAGACTTGCCAATAATTGTTTACCCAAAAATCCCTAAGTGGTAAGCACAACCTTGGCCTGTTGGCCATTATTGAAGGCAATAAGTGCCCTTTTTAGCCATCCATTATGATCAATATACTGTTATTGTTAGTAGGCTAATTGCAACATTAAAAATAACACATCAAAAAGAAAAAAAAGTTGAAAAAATCAAAAAAATCAAATAAATCAAAAAAATCATGAAAAAATAAAAAAAATCATTGATTTTTGATTTTTTTGATTTTTTTAAAAAAATCAAAAAAATCGCCAACCCTGGCATGTTCACACATATGGCAAGTTATGGCCACAACCTCTGCTGCAATAATCCATTCCCTTAGCTGTGGTAGAGTGTGAGAGTGACTTTGTAATGGGTTGTCTTTATTGGTTAAGTGAGGGAAGGTATTCAAGGTTCTTTAAAAATCTAAAGAGTTGAATAAAAGATGGCCTCCCAACTCCCCTTATAGCCATCCCTGTCCACCAGGTGTTTTTCTCTTTTGTTCAACTTTATTTTATCCTGATACAAAACTTCATTATAAAGGGACTTAAGATTTAAACCTAAGAGAGAGCTCTAAATCAAAAAACCTAGCCAAATATCTGGATGACTGTATACCCATTAACTGGGGAACTGGGTGGAACCCAACTAGCAGGTATCACCTTAACTACAAGCTGGATAACTGGGCAACCAGAACCGTATACCCAAATAACAGTATAACTGCTACACTGGACAACTAGGCAAACGGTACAACCGGACAAACGGGGCATGGGTTGCTCATGAAAGTACTTGAAGATGCTTCTGTAAAATATTTACATTATCAATACCTAACACAACTATTATTGAACACAACATCAGCACAAACTTCAAACATATGTACACAATAAACTATCAAGCAGGAGAACATATAAATATATTTCTCAACTATAACAGTATTACGGTATCGAAACACGACATTAAAATCTTTATCAATGAGTATATGAGCACTGATTTAAAAAGGTATATTTTGGCAGGCACCTACTACTCACCATCCACAGGCAGTACTGGTAGTGTGAATATGATATACTGGCAGATAGGAGATTTGGAATTTGAATCACCACTGACATATGAAATAATGGTCAGCAAAAAGGGCAAAGAGAATGAGATGGAGAGCACTAATAACACAAATATTGAAGTTTACCATGAATTTCAAGATCCAAAAAAATAACTCCACATTAACTCAGAACTGGGGGAGCATTACTTCCCCAAGTGGGATCAAGGTAACCACCACTCTCCAGCAGTAAAAGTGACAGCCCATAACAACTTCTGAACACCCTCTCTTTTAGATGTCCCCCTAAGAAAGAAATTGCAAATGCTCAAATCAGGTGACCATGCAGGCCACTGTAAATCGCCTCTCAGAGACAACAGATATCTGGGAAACATGCGTTTCAAAACATTGAGTGACATTCAGGCAGTGTGAACTGTAGCCCTATCCTGCTGGAACCATACGTCTCCCAATGCTTCATTTCCAACATTCCCGATTTACCCCGCCTGTCCCTTTTCACCTCGTTTGACAGCAAGTATTCTAAATGGTATGTTATGTTTACCTCAAGGAAAATAAACTTTCTTCTTTATGTACCTCCATTACTCTTTTATTTCACCTCAAAACTGCTCAATCAGTTCTGCCCCACCCTGAATATTGAGAGGTTGAGATTAGATTGACCTTCTAGGCAATTTGAAAGATTTTCCACCCTAATATGAGTATTGTAATTAAAATATTTAGTTTAAATTTTTAAATATGTCAATTTAAGCTAGAAAAAAAAACAATTACAATTATAAAAGTAGAAAATGCAGTGAATGGCAGTAAAATATTTGAATTGTGCTTATGTTTATTTCAAACAGTGTTAGCTTTTCTCATAACATTAGTCGCGTTTCAAGTCGTTTGAGGTTTGTTTGGTTATCATTCAGTTTGTTTAGTATTCGTTTATTGGTCTGAATCAAATGGGAACAGTGCAGTCAGTCACTCAGTCACTACTAGTTGGTGTGTTTAGAAGGTAGAGTCTTGTAGATTTATAGGACATAAAACTAGTAGATCTATTGATAGTGTTGTGCACTGTGCTATCAGCTACCTATCTGTTACTGTTGTGCAACTCTTCGATGTTTAGAAGATCCGCATTCCTGAAGTGTTTTTGTATATTGAAGCCAATTAAATGGTCAATATTTAGCTTCTTACCTTGCTCCATACATACTTTAGAAAGCTAATAAATAGACTTATCAATAATTGTTTACCCAAAAGTCCCAAAGTGGTAAACACCGACTTGGCCATTCTTGAAGGCAATAAGTGCCCTTTTTAGCCATCCATTTTGATCCATATACTGTTATGGACTTATGGTTAGTAAGCTAATTGCAACATAAAAAATATTTCAAAAAGACAAAAAAGCTGAAAAAAAATCACCAACCCTGTCTAGATGACATTTGTTCATTACACAAATCCTGATCAGGGAAATCCTGAACTAGGAAGCTAGACTCAAATTATTCTTACTCATTCCTTTCAGATCAACATTAGTAGTGTAGTTGAAATGACTGAGGAAGCTGTGGATGATCCTGCTGCTGTGGAAGATGGTGAGGAGGAAGAAGAATACTCAGTGGAGAAAATTCTGGACCGAAGAATAAAAGGAGGACGGGTTGAGTATTTCTTGAAATGGAAAGGTTATGGAGAGTGAGTATCTCAAGCTCTCATTCTCAATCAAACAATTTAGTATGAATTTCAATAAATCTAGAGCATTGCATCAATTATTGATAGTTTCTCTCTAAATTTGAGTCACAAGCTCAAGATGTTCCATTAATTAACAATTCCATGTTGTGTTTTGCACAAAATTGAAGATTTTACAAAGATGCCTGTTTTGCATAAAAATTTATTACACAATTTGAGACATAATGCCAGATGACCATTGCATTATTGACATTTCTAGAATGCCCAGGTAGTCTATCCATTTTAATTCTGGTTATAGTCACTTTCTCCCACTTAATTATTCATTGCCATTTCTAACTATTGTTACCGTAGCTTAAGGGGAGCGTCTGGGGTCAAATTTATCTTGGTCATTTACAGATGGATCGATTCAAAATTTGGTACACATATGTAAAACGGAATTCTGAGACTTTTTTATTCATGTGAATTTTTCTAAAAAATGAAAGAAAATGTTAAATTCATAGAAAACGGCCAAAAAAGGAGTATTTTAGAAAACCTATCTCCTAGGATTTTCAAGCTACAACATCGAAACACATATAATTTGATGCATAAAGACCATATCTAAAAAAGTGTGTATGCGTTTTTTTGAAATCCTCATTGTTGTGGGTGTGGGAGCATTTTTTTGTAAAGTTTTCAGAATTTTTTTTATTTTACCCCCCGCCCCTCCCCTTTTTGCAAAAGAAGAAATCTAAACTATAACGAAATTAGAAAAATGCATGCACACTTTTGTATATCTTTTTTTCCAAGTTGAACGGTGTTTGTCTCATTGATGTAGCTTCAAAACTCTAGGAGGAGATAGGTTTGGCGTGAGAGAGGTTTTCATGTTTTCAAACTGTTCAGTAGAGGCGGAAAACCGTGGTGCGCTATGTAAAGGCATGTTACATAGCTTAGATACCGAAAGTAAGCGTTAGCTCACTTCAAAGTCAGTCAGCAGTGCAGAGGACAACTTTATCGACACCTCTCCACATGATATCTGTAGGTCCAGCGACAGCATATTTATAGAGCTTAGCCATAATTATCTCCATAAGATTTTGTGAAGGGACCCCACCACCCTCTTCCTTTCGGGATCTGTCGTGAACACATATATCAACGTACAGAGATGGTTCTAGTACCGTTCAATGCGGCAGAAAGTTTAAGATGAGCATAAAAACCGGAAAAGCCAAAAAAATTTCTACTTTTATCCCAGACGCTCCCCTTAACTTGCTATAATGGTGCATTCTATACTGCTGAGATTGTTTTACTTGTTCATTCAGTAACAAGATATTTTTAAAAGATTGATTTTCCACTGTATTGGCTTTAGATTGAAGTTTCATATTGCTAGCTAGTGTTTTTGTGTTAGATCAACTTTATATTTGTTGAAGCATTTTTATTTGATGATGGTATTTCATTAAATCTTTGCTGAAAGCAGCTGACAGGCTCACTAAATTTAATTTAATATGTTTTTTTCCTGTTAATCATTTCCTTTATTGTCATTCAACCTTGTTTATTTTTGAACAAATAACAAATGCTGGTAACTGATGTACTATAATCTGCATGATGTACTACAATGTTGTGCTTTTAACTTGCTCAAGTTAACTGATATTCTTGGTGTGTGCAGTGAGGACAACACCTGGGAGCCTGAAGCCAACCTTGACTGCCCTGAGCTCATTGCAGAATTTGAAAATGCACGCAAGAAAGATGAGGCCAAAAAGAAAGAGGAAGGCAAGAAAAAGACAGATTCTAAGAAGAGATCAGCTGCTGATGAAGGATCTGCTAAGAAAAAACCTAAGAAGGGTGTTGAGGTGTGAAATTTGGGGAAACTGTTCCTTACTATTGCTATCGCCTGTCAGTTGCATTTCACCTGTCGGTTGCTTTTCACCAGTCAATGACTTAGCCACTTAAGAACGTCCTGTGCCATGGGCCATGTGTGTGATGAAGATGAGAGAAATTTCCTAGAATGTATAACTTTCGCTTTACTGGTGATGTTTATTTTCGGCTCCCTGTACAAATTAGCTCAATAGACAAAGCACTAGTAAACCATTCAACTACTAATTAATTTCCTCTTTAATTCCTGTTATGTTGTGATCTCATTGTACGAAGTCTTATAATGAGGGAAAGGCACATAAAGCATCACCACGCATTCACTCATTAATCAAGAATATCTGAAGTTTAATAGATGTATTCGTATTGGATGTCATATCGGTTGGGTGCAAATTAAAAAAGAAACAAATTATGCTTACATGATGAAGTTTTTCACAGGCTAAGTTAAGAAGACTAAATGCTCGAAATATTGGGTATAAGGAAGTGAGAATAATTTTAGTTCATCTTGTATATATAAGTAAATGTCATCCCTAAACACACTTCTAAATCTCTTGCAAAAATTCTGGTCCCCAATGTTGCCTTGTCATTGTTCATTGTGCGTCTTGCAGGATGACAATAGACCTCGAGGCTTCGACCGTGGGCTGGAGGCAGAGAGAATCATAGGCGCCACCGACTCGAGTGGGGAGCTCATGTTCCTGATGAAGTGGTGAGGGGTAGCAGTCAATACTGGTTCCCCTGGAAATAACTGTTTTTGAAATAAGGTTCCCCTTAGAATATTTTCACTGGGAACCTTATTTCTAACAGTTATTTCCAGGCGAACCATATTTTATTGAGAATTAGTTGCTAAAAAAAGGCTCCCAGTATAAATACGTGCAATAAAATATGGTTCCCCTGGAAATAACTGTTAGAAATAAGGTTCCCAGTGAAAATATTCTAAGGGGAACCTTAGGTATAATACAGCGATGTCAGCTCCGATTAGGACATGTTAGCCTGTAGGCTGTAGCTCATACTTAACAAGAATTTTCACAAATTCTTGCGGGATTATGAAATTCAGTTATCTGCTCCGATCCTGGTGATCTTAATCACTCAACTATCCCGAGATAAGTGATCATTGGATGGATCATTGAAATGCTCGTCATATTTTTTAATGAAAGAACAGTTTAGTTTCCTTGGTGATGAATGGCTGTCTTCAAAACGGTAGATTGCATTAATGTGAGAGTTATGGAATTTAAACTGCCTTGTCCTTGTTCCTAATCGTTTGCTCACAATTGATAAGACATTTTTCGCGTGAAATTCGCTTCTATATTTAAGGTTGAATTGACTACTGTGAATAAATATTTTACTGTGGTTGCACTCGATGCACTCCCTGTTAACGGAACGTATCTTCGTGACGTTATAGCGCTTCATTTTAATAAGTTAGTTGAGCTTACTTGGGGCGAAAGAAAATGTTTAATGCTGCTGATGAATTATAGTGTAATAATCAAATATCCTAAAAATCTAATCATGAAAAAAAAAACTTGCAAAATACGAGCGTGAAAAATGGTCGATGCTGTAAACCTTTGAAGATTCTCCCACCTCGCGGCTTATCAGCCTGGGGAGTGCTCTGCGGAGACTATCCGAATAATTAATGCTAAGATATGTATGTAAATTATTCCCTTTTAATTTTTACATTTACGCGAGCCTTCGATTTTCCAAATTTGAATTTCTTCTTAAAAGTGATTTTATTAATGCAGGCGCGGCACGGACGAGGCCGATCTGGTGCCGGCCCGCCAAGCCAACACCCGCTGCCCGCAGGTCGTCATCAAATTCTACGAGGAGAGACTCACGTGGCACTCGTCCAATGCAGACGAGGAAGAAGGAGCCGGTCAGCCGTAGTCCGTCATTTTTTCATCATGTCGCAAACTTTTTATGAGAGGACGAACCTCGACGAGATGACACTTTTCCCTCACGCAGTAGCTGCTGTTCTCTGTCTTTACGACGATCAACAGCCGCTTATTCGGTTTTGTATTATTCTTGTAACTCGAGTTGTGAAGATGACGAGCGATAACAGCTAATTTTATTATGGTAAAAATTTTCCCCTCTTATTTACCGTCATTCTAATTCGCACCGTTTCAGTGCGTACTCGAGATACTGATACATGCAACCGTTATTTCAATAAATACATCTATGATTGAATGGATTCCCATCTCCGTATAAAGTGATGTTTATTGTTTATGTTGAATTACGATTGTTCTAATGGAAAAATTTTGTTCAGTGATGAATTTATTCGGTGACCATGTCATTTGTTCAGAACAATGAGCACAACTGGCAAACGCTGTTTTTCCTAAGTGTGTTTTGTGGTGTTGGCTGCAGAAAGCAGATCATGTTCACACTTGAAATTAATGGAATTTTTGTTTTTGCATTGAGGTAGTTTAACTTACAATTAACATTTAAGGTTGTGCTAATGATGCTTCATCGAAACTATTTCCAGGAGAATGATTTCATGCCGCACTAACATTCATATTTAGGCGAAATGAATTCTTCAGCCCTTACTTAAACTTAATTTCGAGATTTTAATCATAATCCAGTGCTTCCTCTAGTGATTTTTGAGTAATGAAAATGAACGATAAATGGAACAAAAAGAAAATTGAAAAAAGAGCTGAATTTTTTTTTCTCACGTAGCCAACTAAAATTGAATTTCCTCTTTATTGCCATAAAGGTATTTTGTTTTGGTGTGATGAATGAAGAAAAAAAAATTTCCTTAACAGATTAATTCTAATTCGTGGGATAATTCTGATCCATTTACTCATCATACCTTGTCTTATTCTGGATGAGTCTTCATGGAGCATATAAATGAGCACTAACTAAGGTCTTGTCAGAGAGCCCGTGATCAGTTTTGTGCATTATCTGTTCAGGCGCATCATGACGCGACTTGATGGTGAGAGAAAAAAATCATTTTTCCTCTTTTCATAAACGAGACGAGCTACAGGCTCTATAGGTTGTATTTGTTAACAACCGCTTGGGTGGCGGAAGTGTGAGAAGCATCTGATATGGGAACTGTTCTCTATATGTGTAGGTTTTGTGACCAGACTTACTATTACCGATTCTATATTGTTACGAATGGCTATCGATTCTTATATATGATAATACTGCTATATTCCATGTCTATATCATTTGATGCTGCTGCATGTAATTGTACGAGAATCTTCGGGCCGTGAAATCAGTCGCAGGCTTGCATCAGTTGGAACGAAATTGCCAAATTGGTTCTCTCTAAACACAAGGATTGGCACTAAACGAAAGCAAAGTTAGATTATTGACAGTATTTCGGCCACCTGGATTCTTGGTGCAATTACTTGATAATTCTGATATGAAGTGTATGTGTAGTTTAATCAGACGGTGGCGGAGAATGAAAACAAAGTGGGATCTAGATAACGCATTTCCAACATTCATATTTTCTTTAAATTGCAACTATGTTTCGTTGCAATCGCGATTAATTCCTTGCAATTTAATATCCAAAAACTCGGCATCCCGTGCTCAACTCTGGCGCCGGGACGGCCATGCTATATTTTGTATTTTTTTTACGGTGATAGGACTTCATTTTAACTCAATTACCTACCTAATACTCTAGATTATATCTCGTAGTCGGATTCGTAATAGTGATGCGGCATCAAGTTAAGTTTTATTTTTTGCTAGTGCCTTCTTTCCCGCCATCTAAACCAGCGTCAATAAATTGACGTCAATCTACTTACTTCCTGTACTCATTTGAAGTTAAATTCCGGTCTTCACGACCAATGTTTTCTAATTTCCTTCAATGTATACTTGATCACTTGTTAAAGCTAACCTGATCTTGACTCAAGAAAATGGATCCAATTTTTAAGACTGTAATAGAAGGACACATTTCGAGTTTTCTTTTCTGTATCCTAATTGTAGGTGCGAATATTTTTTACGTGGCCACGTCTATTTAAAATCAGCCAGCAGGTTTCTATACTAACGAAAAAGAAGAGTCAAATTAGATTAAATTCTGTGAACTGCTGAAATATTTAGCCATTTTAAATTTGAATGAGGATTTGTCTTTAAATTCGTTGCTTCTAATTAATCTTAAATTCTGTTTACAGAATGTAACAATGGAATCTTTATCCTGTTGAAATCCTCAAATCAATATCGTTTTGAAATCAATGGTCACAATAACAATACAGCAGCGACATCGTCACAGCGCAAAAAAAAAGTCGGGTAACGACAACCGTTTACTGTAACAGCATTGCTTGCGTAACATCTTAGCTGTTCTTAAGTTGCCTGAGCATAGATTTCTTCAGTCTCTCCTGCTTATCCTTGAACGAAGTCTTCATTTTAGCGTACCGTTTCTTGTGCTTGATCATGTTGTAGGTTTTCCCCTTGGTCTTCTCTCGGTTGGTGGTGGACGCGAATGGATTAGAGCGACCTTTCTTAGAGCCGAATTTCTCTCTAGTTTGTTGGTTCTCAAGCATCTGCTGCATGCGAGACGCCTTATCGTGAGGTCGCTTCTTGTAGATCATTTCAATGCTGCTCAGAGGCACAAACTCGCGGTCCGTATCAACAAACTCTTCCAGCTTCTGGCGTTTGCTGGTGGGTCTGTCTTTGATTGGCTTGGCACGGGACTCGTCGTCCGGCGCTGCACGCTTGCTTCTGTATCGTTCGGTTTGCTTAACGATGCGCACGGCTTCGATTTTGGCATAGTCTTCATCAGTGAGAAAGCGCGATGAAACGATGTCTGAGGCTTTGGCCGCACGCTCTTCAGGAGTGAGTTTAAGCACTGCTCGAATTGCTGCTTTCTTACTTAAGACCTGCGCCTTGCTACTCTCAGGCTTGGCTTTGATCTTCTTAGAAACTTTAACTTTATTCTTCTTTTTATTCTCAGTATTCTTCGTGTCAGCCTTCTCAGTTATAGATGATGAATTGTCCTTCTGGTTTTCTTCACGAGTCTCGTCTTCCAAATCGCTGTCACAATCGCTGTCGTATTCGTCCGATTCGCTCTCTTCCCCCTCACAGGACACGTCTTGAGAAGCTCCGCTTGCGTTTAAATCCTCGCAATTTGAGCCACCTTCTTCATAACATTCTTCTCCGTTTTCTTCTTCAATTTGATTCTCTTCCATTTCTTCGTCCTCATCATCGTCATCGTCGTCAAGATCCGAGGGTTCGGCTTCGCTATCTGACGCCGGTTTGAAATCTTCATTTCTGGTTTGAAATGCAAGAATTTCGGCTCCAGGAATAAAACTCTTAGCCGTATATTCACCAAACTGCGTTGGTTTCTCCTCCATGAACAGTTCAGTGGGCATGCCTCGCGTTTTTTTGGCCAAGAGGCTTGGGTTTTTAACCCTGTAGAGCGCCATCAATGAACGTGCAGCCGAGTAAACGCCCTTGTTCTTACTGTTGCGATACGCGACCAAGTCTTGCAGGAGATCCTCGTTCATGGCATGTATGTTTCTGCTGCATAGCTCCCTGATAGCGTTCAATCCCATGGCCATGACTTCAGGAGAGTATCGCTCTGTCACGAAATTATGCGTAAGTGCCTGCAGTACGGGCTGCAGGTCGTCAGGAGGTACGAGAGGGTGGGCCGCCTGCGCAGCATAGGCCATGATCTTGGTCACCTCCCGTTGGTGGGGGAACAAGAAACGCTGCAATGTCGGGTAAAAGTTTGGCAAATACAGCTGGTGAATGCCGATGAGACGCGACACGATGTTCATCATAAGTAACTTTACTTCAAAACGCTCATTGCGCTTGTTGAATATCTTGAATATTTTTTCAGCCAGAGTCTGAGGGTCATGGATATAATGCAACGCAGAGTAATCAAAAATTAAATTCTTGTTCTTCTTTTTCTGTGTTTCTTGTATTGTTTTCTTGATGCCTTCAACTTTCTTCTGTTTGCGCTTGGTTCTCTTGTTGACCCTGATGGCAAGAAGTGCCTTCTTCATTGTAGCGTTGTTCTCAACTTCAGATTCACTATCACTGGACTCCTCAACGACGCCTTCGTCGTTCCCAACAAAGAACTTGATAGCAGTGACCATGATCTTAGCTACTTTGGAGTAACACGCCTGCGCTATGATATTGACATTACGTTTGTCTCTCCAGACGCCCTTCTTGTAGAGTTCGATCATGACGTCAAGTGCGGTCTTGACGGCGACGGCGTGGTTGTCAGAAAGCTTGTTGTTCAGGAAGTCCTGCAACTGCCTGTTTAGTACCATATTTTTGCTCTTGGCGTTGATGTTCTTGATGTCCGTGATAATGTGCAGCTGAAGAACTTTGCGCAGCGCTTTGTCCTGTTGGCAAATGCATTATTGATTAACTGGCTCTCCATATCTACATGCTTCAGGATGAAGTAAAATGTCAATTTTATAAATGAAGGAGGAAATTTCTTCATTAGGTTTCCTGGACACGAAATAAATAATTGAATGGAAAGAGAATGGAATCGATATTGCAAAAAAAGTTGTATGCTGGAAAATCGATCAAATAGACCAAAATAATTGTATTTAAATTACCTGGCAACGGAGGAGATCGAAGCAAACATCGAGGAGGAGCATGGGCGGCAAGAGGTCCTTATTCCTGAGAAGAATGAGCGCCTTGACGAGCCCCATGCGCACCTCAGGGTGCAGGACAGGGCCGTGGGTGCGCAACAGCCCGACTAAGTCATTAGGGAACTGCTGCAGGTCCTTGTCTTTAGGGTAGCACTGAGCAACCTTGTAAAGAAATGAATAATTTCACATCGTATCACAAGTTAAAAGAAAATATCACTGAAATAATGATTGGTCTGAAGAATGATTACATGGGATAACAAATCATACATTGTGAACATCAGATATTTTCTAGGAAAAATTATAGATTTGTGAAATGTATGACCAGCAGGCTATATTCTTTTGCGTTTATCAGATTAAACATATAGTATAACAAACTACATAAAAATAATACAATTAACATAAAAATATGCATTTTCTGAAACTTGAGTTCTCACATTGTCAGATATTTTATCACTCACCTGGGCAAGAAACATGACCAGGTCATAGAATTTCATGTCCTTAGATGCTGGACTCAACTTGAAAATTTCTCTGGTGTCCACATAGAAGACATACTGACTCTCAAACTCTTCTCTGTACGACTCAGGATCTCTCTTGATGAGGTTCTGCAGCTGAGGCAGATTGTCAGGCAGCTTGGAACCCATGATTTAGGAGCCAGTGCTGAAACCAAACAACAAATATTATTTATTTGGAAATAATCTGATTATTTAGCACAAATGTCTGGAAGAAAGTCCTCCATACTATTGTGCGAGCAGTTCACGGGCAATAAATATATATATATATATATATATATATGCGTACAATTTATGGCCAGAGAGTGCATTTGAATTTTCAAGGAGTTGAACAATTCTTAGTATTTGTACTAGTTACGTGTATTATGTACTTATGTCCAACCAAATTTCAGTATTCAATGCTTCTCTTAACTTGAAAATGAATGTTGCTACATTCGAAACGTCGTTAATATATTATTATTTGCTAAATCTGCCTTTTGATCTACCAACGTCATCTAAGAATTGTTCAACTCCTTGAAAATTCAAATGCACTCTCTGGTCATAAATTGTACGCATATAATCAAGAAATTTCTGCCATCTTATAATAATTTCTGCACTCATGACCCGGCAGCAGGAGGTGAAATGCGAACTGTGGGACACAGAAGTGAACTAATTCCGAGAAAAATCAACAGTAAAACCCAAAATATGAAATTTGAAGACTCAGAAAAGAAACTCAAACTGTCTCAAAGTGTTAAAAGCGAGCAACTTCGTCACAAGATTATTGATGAATTAAAAAGGCTCAATGAAACCCGTGATAATATCAAACCTGTCTCTTATACACATCTAGATGTGTATAAGAGACAGCTAGTTACGTGTATTATGTACTTATGTCCAACCAAATTTCAGTATTCAATGCTTCTCTTAACTTGAAAATGAATGTTGCTACATTCGAAACGTCGTTAATATATTATTATTTGCTAAATCTGCCTTTTGATCTACCAACGTCATCTAAGAATTGTTCAACTCCTTGAAAATTCAAATGCACTCTCTGGCCATAAATTGTACGCATATAATCAAGAAATTTCTGCCATCTTATAATAATATATATATATATATATATATAGCAGAATAAGCTTATTTAAACACGAGTGGTTAATGACCAGAGAAATCATTGATTTAAATTTTCAGGATCGAACAATATTCTTCAGTGGACGTTGGTTGATAAAAATTCAGGTTCAAGGAAGTAATTTAATTTATTAACGACGTTTTGAATGTGACATCATTCATTTTCAAGTTATAGGAAGCATTGAATACTAAAATTTTGGCGGAAATAAGTACATGATACACGTAAATATGATATAACACGAAAATTTGGAACCGCCAAAATAATTCCGAAACAATCTCAAAGTTCAGAAATCCGGTAGTTATGAGACGAGTAGCTGGAGCCCAATCCATAGAGATGAGGGCTTCAGCTGTCGTCGGTCGAATATTTCAGGTCACTGCACGATGAAGATGCTGGTGTGTTTCTCCAGCACAGTGAGAGTTGTTGTCAAGGGTGTCAGGGAGCCTGTTGAATTCATCACGGATCATGAGATGAAGTTGCTCGATGGTAAGACTTTATAGTAATTAAGTAATTGTAATTGGAGTAATTGGAATGAAGAGTAATTGGAATGAAGAGTAATTGGAGTAACTTCATCGACATTGAACAGCTGTTTTTCCTGCCACCTGAGACAATTTCGCAACCAGACCAGGTCTCAAAGTCTTACCATCGAGCAACTTCATCTCATGATCCGTGATGAATTCAACAGGCTCCCTGACACCCCTGACAACAACTCTCACTGTGCTGGAGAAACACACCAGCATCTTCATCGCGCAGTGACCCGAAATATTCGACCGACGATAGCTGAAGCCCTCATCTCTATGGATTGGACTCCACCTACTCGTCTCATAACTACGGGATTTTCTGAACTTTGAGATTGTTTCGGAATTATTTTCGCGGTTCCAAATTTTCGTGTTGTATCATATTTACGTGTATCATGTACTTATTTCCGCCAAAATTTTAGTATTCAATGCTTCCTATAACTTGAAAATGAATGATGTCACATTCAAAACGTCGTTAATAAATTAAATTACTTCCTTGAACCTGAATTTTTATCAACCAACATCCACTGAAGAATATTGTTCGATCCTGAAAATTTAAATCAATGATTTCTCTGGTCATTAACCACTCATGTTTAAATATATATATATATATATATTAGTTTCAGATGGCAGAATTTGTTGATTTATACGCGTGCGATTAACGACCAGAGAATTAGTTGATTTAAATTATCAAAGAGTCGGACAATTCTTCAGACGACGTTGGTAGATCGAAAGGCAAATATCAGGAAGTAGTTTTAGTTTATTAACGACGTTTCGAATGTAACAAACATTCATTTTCAAGTTACAAAGAGCATTACATATTGAAATTCTGGTGGAAATAAGTACATAATATACGTAAATAGGATACTATAGTAAAATTTTGAATCAGAAAATCACTCTGAAAATCATTTCAAAGTTCAGCCAAATCCGGTAGTTAAGAAAGAGGTAGCAGGCGTCCAATTCGTAGAGACGATGAGCCATCTTCGGTCGATTGATGTCTCAGGCCACTGTTTGATGACAATGCTGGCGGGTTCCTTCAGCACAAAGCGAGTGACGGTCTGGTTGTGAGATTGTCGCGTGTGGTTCACTTGCCCTCCCGGTTTGGAGGTAGCTAATGAGACAGCGTCTCAGTGTCTTGCTTGTTGATCCAAAGTGTCCGATGTAGTCCAAAAGATGAAGAAGTCTACAACCTTCTTTGAAGCAAAATTTATAGACCACAACGGCCTCTCGGACAACTCCCGAGACCTAGCTCCATGACAACCTTGACAACAACGTCAAACCCCGAACGATACGCAGCAACAGTCACTTCAAACGAGCGGGAGTTCTTCAAGAATCTGGTGTAATCAATAAATTTTGCTTCAAAGAAGGTTGTAGACTTCTTCGTTATTTTGACTGCATTGGAGTAATTGGGGTAACTACTTCGACTTTGAGCAGCCGTTTATCCTGCCACCTGAGACAAGTTCGTAACCAGACCAGGTCTCAAAGCATCACAATCAAGCAACTTCATCTCAAGATCCGCGATGAAATCAATTGGCCCCGTGACACTCTGGACAAAGTCAATCTCAACGAGACTGTCACTTGCACTGCGCTAGAGGAACCCACCAGCTTCGTCATCTTGCGGTGGCCCGACATAATCCGACCGACGATAGCTGAAGCCCTTTTCTGCGGATTGGACTCCATCTATCCATCTCATAACTACCTGATTTTTTAAGCTTTGAGATTGTTTTGGAATTATTTTCATGGTTCCAAATTTTCGTGTTGTATCCTATTTACTTGTATCATGTACTTATTTCCATCGAAATTTCTGTATTCAATGCTTCCTGTAACTTGAAAATGAATGTTGTTACATTCGAAACGTCGTTAATAAGTGATATTACTCCCTTGAACCTGCATTTTGATCAACTAATGTCATCTGAAGAATATTTTTCGACCCTGAAAATTTAAATTGACGAATTCTCTGGCCATTAACCACCCGTGTTGAAACAAGCTTATTCTGCCTTCTGATACTAAATATATATATATATAGAAATCCATCCAAGACGTTTGAGTTTCTGAAAATAAATAATACTACTGAACTTGTTCGTATCAACGAGAAAAAAGGGATAGTTTGAGTTGTCTTGTCTTTTTTTTCAACAAACTGTAGGATGAAAAAAACATATCTGTGGTGTGGCAATTTTGTTTCACAAATAAATTTCTTCAAATAATAACTAAATAGTGCTGATTACAGTCAACTGAGCCAACAAGTGTTGTATGGTACCATAAGTTTGTTGGTTGCCAGGAATGAAAAAATATCATATTAATTGATCTTTAACAACAGCAATTTAGAAAAAGAAATTGAAAGGCAATCATTAAAGTATTATTTGGGAGTCAAATTTTTGACCAGAGTGCATCAACTGAAGCTTTTTTTAGATGACCTCAATGATGCACCAATATGTGCATAACCGCGCAGCTTGAGGATTGATCGCTGCTACCGGCAGCAGACAGCATTGAACATATGTAGGTCACTTGTACACGTATGTAATACGTAACTACGCAGATGTGATTGCGCAGTGTGAGGATACAATTGCTCTGCCTGCAGCAGACGGCATAGAACGTTTGTTTTGAGTATATTCACTAGTAAACGTACATGCATAGCCGCGCTGCCCAAGGTACCGTAAAATGGGGGTAACTTAGACCACTTTTTTTTTATAAATGATGCCATTTTCTTACTAGCTAACTTAAACTTGAATTGAAACATGCAAAATACATGTCTATACTCTAGCTTCACTCACCATAAATTGCTGGCTTCTGCCTCTCATAGTCTTTATGTAATTTAAAAAAAAGTGGTGGTCTTTGTTACCCCAGCTCTTGGGGTAACTTAGACCAGGTGGTAAAATCAATTATACTTTTTGGTAAAATAACTCCAAATAACTCCAGGTTTTGGTGCATTGTAGTAGAACTCTTCTAGTTATATATGCAAATGACAAACTTGAGGAAAGTGTCATAGTTTGCAAATGGGGGGCGCCGCCCCATAATGAGGGAAATGTGACTACCTAATGGCAGCCCTGATGGGGTAATATTGACTGGCTTGGAAATTAAGTTAAAATTACCATATATAAGACTCTGTAGTCTGAAACATAAAGAAAAAACATAAATAGGCTGTCAAACATAAAATATGTTATATATGGCAATTTTATATTAACTTCCAAGCCGGTCTATGTTACCCCGTCAGGGCTGACATTAGGTGGTCTAAGTTACCCCATTTGGGGGCGGCGCCCCCCATTTTCAAACTATGACACTTTCCTAAAATTTGTCATTTGCATATGTAACTAGAAGAGTTCTACTACAATGTATCAAAACCTGGAGTTATTTAACCAAAAAATAAAAAAATTGGAGGGGGTACTCTGAGAGGCTTTAAATAATAGCTTTTTTTTTGTGGGTCACATTTTTAATTTTTTAACCTATTAGATATGCAAACTTTTCAAATCTTTCTATTGTGTTATGTAGCCTCAGTATTAGGCCTTTAATGCCCATTGACAAAATTTTTCT